TGTGTATAGAGGACAGTAGGTTGGCTTTATAGAGGAGGATCCTTCACATTTCCAACTCTGTGACTAGCCTGACTCCACCTCCCCCACCCCCCTTCACCCCTTGCTTCACAGTCAAGGCTGGAGTTTCCATTAGACTCTAAAACCCTAGCCTAGTTTCCCAGCCTGTGGTGTAACTCCTTGACTAGCAAATCACCTTAAGATTTCAGCAGGATGGATTTTGGGATTGATTGCAGCCCCAGCAAGTTTGCAGATGACACTAAACTGGGGGGAGAGGTAGATACACTGAAGGGTATGGATAGGGTCCCGAGTGACCTAGACAAATTGGAGGCTTGGGCCAAAAGAAATCTGATGGGGTTCAACAAGGACAAATGCAGAGTCCTGCACTTAGGACGGAAGAATCCCATGTACTGCTACGGGCTGGGGACCGACTGGCTAAGCTGCAGTTCGACAGAAAAGGATCTGGGGATTACAGTTGATGAGAAGCTGGATATGAGTCAACAGTGTGCCCTTGTTGCCAAGAAGGCTAACAACATATTGGGCTGCATTAATAGGAGCATTGCCAGCAGATCAAGGGAAGTGATTATTCCCCTCTATTCGACACTGGGGAGGCCACATCTAGAGTATGGAGTCCAGTTTTGGGCCCCCCACTACAGAAAGGCTGTGGACAAATTGGACAAAATATGCCAGTAGAAGGCAACAAAAAATGGTTAGGGGGCTGGACTTATGAGGAGAGGCTGAGGGAACTGGGCTTACTTAGTCTGCAGAAGAGAAGAGTGAGGGGGGATTTGATAGCAGCCTTCAACTACCTGAAGGGGGGTTCCAAAGAGGATGGAGCTTGGCTGTTCTCAGTGGTGGCAGATGACAGAACAAGGAGCAATGGTCTCAAATTGCAGTGGGGGAGGTCTAGGCTGGATATTAGGAAACACTATTTTACTAGGAGGATGGTGAAGCACGGGAATGAGTTACCTAGGGAGGCAGTGGAATCTCCATTCTTAGAGGTTTTTAAGGCCTGGCTTGACAACAAAGCCCTGGCTGGGATGATTTACTTGGGGATTGGTCCTGCTTTGAGCAGGGGTTGAACTAGATGGCCTCCTGAGGTCTCTTCCAACCCTAATCTTCTATGATTCTATGATTTTATGGAGATGCTCTGCTGTCTCTTACCACTGCTGGCCAGCAGCTGCCACTCCAGTACGATTCAGTGCCCATCCAGTCAGGTCGGGGTTGCTCTTTAGTTCTCGTGGAGTCAGAGCAATACTGTAGTGAGGGGAAAAGGAAGGAGAAATGGCATCAGTCTCCAGGCACTGCTACAGCTCACTGATTCTGTCAGGAGACTGAGTATAGTTGTCAAGTAAAGATCTTCCCATCAAGTCTCAGTGGAGTCGTGGGAGTATCTGAACCCATATTAAAGCAAGGTTAACTGTCCTTTTGTCATCAGTACTGTGTCCCAGTTTACTGGAAGCCTTTAATTAATACACAAAGGGCCAGTTACTATCATCACTTACACCTGTGCATCTCCACTGATGTTAATGGGGTTACACAAAATGTACCTGAAAGAAGAGTTTAGTTCAGTGACTGCCATAGGAATTACACAGGCAAATATGAGAGCAGAATTCAGCTCTAACAATTTATTAAGGTGACATATTACCAGCTTTATTGCTGGATACATACCTGAAACTGACTAACCCTCCTAAAGTGTCCTGTCACCGCATGCATTTTTCCCATGAAAGGTCTAAAATAGGATCTTTGGTAGTTGTCACTATTTCAGGCATTCCAAAGTCCTGAGTGGAAACAAGCAAGGAATTTTTCTAGGACCTTTAAATTAACCAGGAAAGAATGTTACCCTGATAGTTTTGTTTGGCTGTTTGACCACTAATTGCACCACTAACCTGTATCATGTCAACATGCAGTCAGTATCACAACACTAGGATTAGTGTTAAAATCTGTGAGGTCTGAACAATGCAGCTCCTTGGATATGATGAAGTTGTGTATTTCCTAGAGTTACAGTAAGTGAATTTCTATGCTACTGATGTTCTGAGAGCTTTTAGTTGTGTCCATGGGGGTTTATAAGTTATCAGGAAGATAATTACTTGGGAGGTTATACAGTATAGTAGTAGCTGTGACCAAGGTGACAAATAATTGCATGGTTATACAGTACTGTGGTAAAATCTGTACAGTGAGAATATCTATGAAGTATCATGATTGATATTACATGCTTGGAGACCTGTAAGGTGTTCCCAGAATTGCTATTCTGGTAGATGTACAGTTATATTGGTGCCTAAATCCTCCACAGTCTTAGTGCAATAGATTTTATTTCTGTATAGCTTTCATACCAGAGTATCACACGCTTCTTCATAAATGTCTTTCTGTTTGTCTCCTATGGAATACTTGATGGTCTGATGTGTGATGGTGTTGTGTAAAGGTTTTGTCAGTAAGAATCTGGGGTATAGCACCACCTGTGATTTATGCAGATTACCCTGAACTCATTAACCCTTTATACCCCACCCTTTATACCCCATATCTGTTATATGTTACAGATTTATGGAGATACAATTTTAGAAAAGTTTTAGGGAATTAAAAAACAAACAGGGAACTATTTTGGTGTCTTTCCTTCTTTAAACTTAGATGAGTTAAACTATCATGAGTCTAACTCTGCTCTACTCAGAGAGAGCTCTAAAAACATCCAATAATGATCTAAAATAGCTTTCTTGTATTTTAAATGTCAGGATTGTAAGGTCCAATATCTGAAGACCTTCCAGAGCTAGAAGTAAAAGCTGTGTCTCATTGGAAAACTGGGAAGCTTTCTTTTCCAGTGACGTAAAGCTCCTAACATAATAGGGTTGTGAAGTATTGGTCTTAAACTCATCACTTTGTCCAGCACTAAATCTTGTACACCCTGAACCTCAGGGGGCAGGTGTAATTTTGGAGTGGCACAAAGGGTTTGTAACAAGGGGCCAGAATCCATAGATATAACAGCATGTTTTTGTGTGAGAAGAATGACTGTGCTTCTGAAAGGCAGGAGGCCTGTGGTAGTAAGGGTCAGCTGAGAGGAGTGTTACAGACTAGCTGGCCTACTGTACATAATGTTTCCATGTTTGTAGAATCAGTCGTATTATTCAACTTATGTTTTCAGAATTCATGTTTCACCCTTGTATTCTGGCTCTAGATAAAAATATTTTCTTCCTTCCCTGACCTATGTATATATATATATATATATATATATATATAGCACCGCTATGGGGTAAACCTTCTGCCTTAGCAGAAGGGCATCCGAAGCAGTGGGAAGATTATTAGCTAGCCTGGCGGAGAAGTGATGGCACTTTGCTGCAGCTCCTTGTGCACCAGAGATGTAATTATCACATGCATGATGAATATAACACTTGCCATAACTTTTTGCTTACCTAAATAAAAGGTTCCTTAAATGCCACACAGCTCCCTTTTTTGTAAAGCAGGAGGGACACTTGGATTCAGCCCGTGGGGTCCCCAGAGGCTTTAAACTTCTGTCCTTCACCTTCCATCGGTCATCTCCCCCATGACGCCTTCCTCTCTCCACCTCTCTCCCTTGTTCCTCCCTACCATTCTCCAGGAGTGACCTCTCCTCTCATTCTCTGTGCCTCTTTCACTGTCTCTCTCTCTCCTTCTCTCTCTCTCTCTCTTACACCCTTTGACTTCTTCTTCCTTCCATCCTCTGTGACTTGTCCCTTGCTCTGACTGAGCTCTATCTCTCTCCTACTGCATGTTCACAAATTATGATTTGTTTTAGGTCATACTTTTAAACCATTCTTTAAGTCTGAACATTCATTAAATCTACATATTGTACAATCTATAGAGATGACTTTTCAAAACAAAACTTCTTCCAAATTATAGTGTTTGGAACATTATAATATTAAGGATACCCTCTGTGGGTACCTCATTACCTCATTCACTTTTAAGTTCCCATTGTTTTTTACAGCAATGTATTACATTTAGAAGACACGTTATTTCTTCTTCTTTATAAAAATATTTTTTGTGGTGTTGTCTATATTCACTGCAGGCTGGTATGTGGCCTAGTGTTGCTTGCATATGACACTGCAGGAGAGATGTATTCAATGCAGAGGATTTTTCTTTATTTGGACCATCTGCTGGTGAAATATATGTTTCTATCTCTAAAATCCCTTCCACATAAAGAAACTGACCCATTGGTGTCTGGTCTGTCAGTGACGGATTGGGAATCTATTCTTGGCTTTGCCTGTGACTTGCTGTATGATGTTAAGTAAGTCACCTAGGTCATTAAACTTGGGTGCCTCAAATTAGACACTGAAATACATATTTAGGTTGAAAGTGGTCTGATTTTCCAGGGTGCTAAGCACCCGCAAATCCCACTGAAGCCAATGGAAACTGTGGGCACTCAGTGCCTTTGTAAATTGGGCCACTTTAATTTACATGACTACATGTGACTGTAGGCACCCAAATTTGAAGTTGTTGGTCATAACCCTTTATACCTTGGTTTCAGCAAAATGAAGATGATTTATTTACCACTTTGTAAAGTTCTTCGAGAGCCTCAGGTGAAAGGTGCTATATAAAGTCAAAGTGTTAATATTTATATATTAGCATACATTTATTTCATATAAAAGTAAAATCCAGAGGATTGTAACTCTTCAATGACAAAAGGAAAAAGAAGAAGATGGTCACATTTGTATAAGACATTTGGTAACAGAGTTATGGTAACCCTTGGCTTCAGAATGACCTCTTAGATAACAGAAGGGCTGTTTCATTGATGATGTGGGTGACAGAATCTTCAGGTTCACATGGCACCACTCTCCTTCATCTTACCAACAAGACTGTACTCTTCTTCTGCCAGGGCAACCCCCAGTGGCATGGATTGAGTTACAGTTTTCAAAGAGGAAAACAGTATGCATTGGGAATCTGTTGTGCTTATTCTTACTTCTTTCTATTGCTGTTCTCATGGAGGTCTAGAGTGTACAGTTCATTTAGAAGCACTAACAGTAACTCTTATCTTTCAGGCATCGGATCTCCAAATCTAAGTTTAGGTAAGTAAAATATAGTTGTATATTTTTCTGTCATTCGACTGGTTTTTTATCCCACCTTTTAAAATTATCTTTCACTGTCACCATGGCACATGGATAACTCTAAGCCATTCCCAACGTGGATAGAATTTAATCAATCATCCACCAAAATCAGTGATCTTTTTACTTAATATTAGACTGAGATAAGGCCCATGAGTTAGAGGTGACACTTATCTCAGAAGTTCACATTTTCTGGCATGTTGGCCTGAAAGCTTCCCCATTGGTAACATTGGGTCATAAAATTATAGAAGCTAGAGATAGACCAGTTAGATCATCAGCTGATATTCATTCCACTAAAAGGCCAACCCAAGTGTTTGTTTTCTACAGCATTGGGTAGTGTTCTGTTCTCTTTAGTTGTAAATGTCTCAAGAGATAGGGCTTCCATGTTAAATTAGGCTTCATCCCACCACTGGACAGAGCTGGAATATTTTACCCTTTTGTAGCAAGATCCACAGAGTTTCCCTACTGGGTGTTTGATTCTTAATAATTTATCAGCTTTTAGAAATGTGTGGAGGGCCTGGGCTGACCAGACGTATACTTCCACTGGCAGAATTTACTCCATCATGCTTATAAATATATACTTGCTCATTGTGAAAAAGGTTTCCAGTCCATTTCCCTCTCCAGTATGTGACCTATATTGTCTTCATGGCTTTGAATTCTAAGTCCAGCAAGACTTCTAACACTAGAATGCTATAAGAAATGCTTTGGCTTCCTCCATAATTGGGACAGGAAAACTGCTGTTTTCTTCCTCATACAGGAGATGTGAATAATAATGTAGAATTGTCATATTAACCCATGCACATACATACATGCACGTGTGAATGCACACGTACAGTACATGCATGCTGACAGATGTACAAACACAGGAAAGCATAAATATTCCTATATACATATAGGTGCACGTATAGCACAAATGCATGCACATGCACACACATACATGCACACGCTTACACATTTTGGACTAGATGAAGGCTGGAAAACAAGACCACAGCATTAATGCTATTTGATCCTCATGCACTTATTCCTGATGATGTCAGAATATCTCTATTAGCCAAACACTACAATAATTTTCTCACTTTTCAAAAATAACACTTCTAGACTCGCTTCCACTTGAGCGCACACAAACTACTTGTGTTTCGTAGAAAAATTCTTAGTATTTTACCTAGCTAACAAAGATTTACAGTTGAGTTCCTGATAAAATTTTGCTGTAAGATTCTTAAGCAGTGGTGGAGTATTTGCATCTGGCTTTAATGTGTCTTGGTGCTGAACTCCGTCCTAGTCCGAGATCACTGCTTACCACTGGACAGGGAATGAGAGAGACAGGTCTAGCCAAGGAAAGTTCCCATTCCACTTTGTCATGTAATACATATATAATAAAAACTATTAGATGTATTATACAGTGCCAAGAGTTGCCTGGAAACTGGTTGCTAAGCAAGTTAAATTCTGAAGAGTAGGAGGTGTATAATTAGCTTTAAATACCTTCTGTGGTTAGTAATTACCCTCAGAAATCAGTGTGACACTCATGAGGGGCTGTGTTCATGGAAGGCATAATTTAAAGGGGTACTGTTTATTAGCAAATGGCATCCTTATCAACAGGCACAGGGGAAGATCTTGAGGTCCCCCAGGGATCTCAAAGAAAATAGACTTTTGTGACATTGTTTTCAGTACAGAGTTGGCTGTCTTGTTGGGCCTCATACTGATAGGTGCTGAGCACTTGAAATTCCCATTCTTTGCTGAGATTCACAGGCACACGGCACCTCTCTGGGGGCCTCGATTCCAGGCCCATTGTAGGCAACGAAAGACTTTCAGTTGACTTCAGTGGGCACTGGATCTGACCCATGACCAGGCCCACAGTTATTCAATAAAGAAAAGCTTACTATTTCTGTGGAAAACAAGAAACCTCTAGAGGCCTTTTCTTTCTGGTCAGCACATGTCTCCTCTCACCGAGTCAAACTGGCTGAAAGGGCTCGTCCACCCGAGAATCTTAGTACTTTGTTTAGAACCGTGTTTTGTTCAGATGGTTGTGGTCACCCTGAGCAGTCATGGAGACTCTCTCCCAGCATGGATTTAAAAGCCTTTCACTGTCATCACTTCAGACTCCATAATTCACCTGAATGAAAGCTGGAGGTCTTAACTGAGGCATTTGCAATGGCTTACACGTCCCCATTTTTTCATCCCTTTTTTCTTTCTCCCGTTTCAAGCCGCTACTGGCGCCGGTGGAACAGGTTCTGCAGGAGGAAGTGCCGAGCCGCTGTCAAGTCCAATATTTTCTACTGGCTGGTGATCTTCCTTGTGTTTCTCAACACCCTTACCATTGCCTCTGAACATTACAACCAGCCAGACTGGCTCACAGAGGTCCAAGGTAAGATGAGGCAGGTGGTTTTGCTTGCTGTCCTTGTAACCATTAAGGGATAAACAAACTTACAGGAAGGAGAAAGAGAAAGAAAGAGTTAGAGGTCTGATGACCCAGTATTTGAAGTCCCAGCCTTGAACTACAAGCAAATACAAATACAATCCTCTGTTTGCAGAGGATGTTAGACAGTATCTCAAATACATGATTGCATTATGAGAGGCCTCAGAGAACGCTGTTAGTACCCAGCTGGCTATCAGCTAGAACGTTCCTTTAGATCCATGTGAGGTCACATAGCTGGAGCTTACTTCTGTCTGTGTGTGCAGCACTTGGGCTGCCAGTTTAAGAGTAGATTCTCGGGGTTGTGAGTTCCCCAGTTTGTCACTCGAATGGCATTTATGATACATTCTGGTTACAAAGGAGTTGAGGAGGGAGGAATGATTTATGAAGTTCCCCTTAGTCTAAGAAATAAACAGCTGAATCCTCAGTGGAAATGAGAGCAGCTGAAAGGCTGAATTAAACAAGAGCAGATAACACGGCAGCCAATAGTTGTAACCTGTACATCGGAAGATGACAAGTGTGACAGGAGGTTGTGCATTGGAAAGCACAGTTCCTGTCAAGGAGGTTATACAGCTGTATAATACATGCATGTGGGAAGTATTGTGATTGAAACCAGGGCTTCTATGCAAAACACTTTCATGTATGGATTGTCAGCACATAGGCCCACTTCCTTGGCTGCATGCTGAGCAGAGTCCTCTCTCTTTTCACTCTGACCTCGCTGTTTGCTGGTAGTAGTGGGTGGGATTTTTGGTGGTGGTGGTGGTTTTGGGTGAAATTATAATAATTATTCTTTATCCGTTTTTTCATGAGACACTGCCAATAAGGTGCTGCTAGCTCTTTTCACGGCAGAGATGCTGCTGAAGATGTACAGCTTAGGTCTCCAGGCCTACTTTGTATCTCTCTTCAACCGCTTTGACTGCTTTATTGTTTGTGGAGGAATCCTGGAGACCATCCTGGTGGAGACCAAGATCATGTCACCGCTGGGCATCTCGGTGTTGAGATGCGTCCGACTCCTGAGAATATTTAAAATCACAAGGTACTTCTGTTTTCCATGGAGGCCAACTTTGGGGATGAGGCAGGGACAGGCCTAGGAGCACTAGCATCATGGACAAATATGGTACTTGATATCTGCTCCACACACACATGTATCCAAATCACTGATCTCCTTGCAGCTTCATTCCTTCCACTATCCTACCTACTTCTTCTTCTTCCTCCACAGGGCATCCCAGCTTCTGCTCAGTCATCTGCGGTGTGTACCTTTGGCAGTACAGTGGTTTCTGCAGGGCAGCTGAGAACTAAAGGCACCTTTCTGGGGGGATGGGAGAAGGGAAGGGAGCAAGAAACAGCTGAGCAGAAACTCCATAACCAAAGTGGAGCCGTTTGAGATTGGCCAGTTGGTAGGGGATTTAGGATGCCTATGTGCCTTATGCCAGATAAGGAAGTCCTTGGGATTGAGACATCAGCTCTTTCATAGGGAAAAAATGGGAGAAGTCAGAGTGAGGGGATCATTGAGAATTGGTCCCCTTTCTGTACAGATTGGGGAGCTGTAAAGAGTGGAGGCGTGTCCATAGGCCCTGACTTCGTGGGTGCTCCGGGGCTGGGAGCACCTATAGGGAAAAAATGGTGGGTGCTGAGCACCCACCAGCAGCCCACCCTCCCAGTCAATGCCTCCCCCTCACCACCCCCAGCACCTCCCACTCACAGACGGCTCTGCCAATCCGCACCTCCCCCTGCCTCCCAGCACCTCCCACCCGATGCGGTCAGCTGTTCCACGGTGTGCAGGAGGCACTGGGGGGAGGAGGTGGAATGGGGGCGGGAAGAGGCAGGGTGGGGTTGGGGGAAGGGTGGAAAAGGGGCGGGACCCAGGTCAGAGCGGGGGTCAAGCACCCCCCAGGAACCAAAAAGTCAGCACCTATGGGTGCATCACTTGAAGAAACGGGAAACCATTCTCCTGGGTGATTAGCAAGTCTGGTTGGAAGCACTTTAAACTAAGCTGGTTAATATATTAAAATATGGGAAGATGTTATCCACCAAGCTTGGTCTTTTAAGGGTCCCTGTCAAATCAAAAAGAAATTGGCATGTTCCCTTTTTTTTGCTGCTTTATGGTGACTCAAGGAGGCCTGAAAGGCTGTGTTAAATGGGAAAAAACTTGATCGAGAAGCCCATTGCCAACCCCAGCAGCCACAACAATGGGCAGACGAGGGAGCGGACCCTGGCAGCTTCCTCCCCCACAAGTCCCTATGGGAAGAAGCATGGTGTCAGCCCTAGCAGCAACATAGAGAGGACTCTGCCCACTTCCTCCTCCCATTCCAGTTCCTCCCTCAGAGGAGGGGAGCCCCACACTGGCAGCAGCAACTGAGACCTTCTTCAAGCTCTTTTTTTTTCATTCCCTTCTTTCTCTCCCTCCCTTTCCACAAAGGCACAGTGCCTCCTAGTCAGTGATTCTGTTCCCTCCTGTAATCAGGTACTGCAAAACACAAACCTGATTTAGCCAGCTTGAGGTGAAGTCACAGGAAATGTCAGCTTCTGACTCATCCCGATTTAGTATCTCCATACAAATTCCTGTAAGTGGTCGCTTGATGGAGAAAGGGGTCTGGGGCTCACCCATATGGGCTTCCAGTTAGCACTTTATAAAAGCTTCAGTTGTGGGGGTGAAGCCATGGGTTTTCCTGCAGACTCGGATATGAAAATGGCCCTACAATCATTTTAAACTTCCAGGAGAGCTCTGTGAAAACTGAGATAAAAACACAGAGCACAGGAAAAGCAAGACCAGATCTGGAAGGCGTTCAAGATGGCAGAGCTGTGCTGCAGACAAAAACAACTGACTTGGATGCCAGATTAGTATAAGGTTTTACCCTGAATTTAACAGCCATTATAGAATCCAAAAAATGAAAAACACCTATGAAGTTTCTATAGTTCAGCTTACTGCTAAGGGTGGATGGCTTTCAAGGTCAGATGTCAAGGGCTGAAAAGAGGTTTACACCCAAAGAGACAGTTTAGACATTGGCCAAGGCAAGGCTGTGACTATTCGAAAGGAAGGTGGCCTATTTAGAAGAGTCAGCTGAAGATACAGGGAATAGGAATTAGCAAAAATAAACTATTAGATTCAGCCTCCTGGGAGGAATGAAGAGCCCAGATCTGCAGTTTGTCTTCTTTCTGGATCCCTGGGACTAAAGGCAAAGGGTGATAAAATTTAATTAGATATGGCTCATCGAGCTCTGGGCCAAGTTTCTAAGGAAGGTGTCTGTCCCAGGCCTAAGTTAATAGGATGCAGGAAGGCCATCCTACCAGTAGGTTTTACGGAAAAAGAAGTAACACATGATGAAGAGGAAGAGTTGTTTGTTCAGGACTCTTCTCCACTCCTGCAGAGAGAGAGAACAGTTTACAATCCTGCTAGGAGAATTCTCTGTGAAAAGGGGCATAGATGTGGAACCTTTTGTCTAGAAATCCAGAGAGTGTTTAAGGGAACTGAGACCCTTACATCTGGAAATTAAAAAGAAACACTGAATCATAGAATATCAGGGTGGAAGGGACCTCAGGAGGTCATCTAGTCCAACCCCCTGCTCAAAGCAGGACCAATCCCCAACTAAATCATCCCAGCCAGGGCTTTGTCAAGCCTGACCTTGAAAACCTCTCAGAATGGATATTCCACCACCTCCCTGGGTAACCCATTCCAGTCCTTCACCACCCTCCTAGTGAAAAAGTTTTTTCCTAATATCCAACCTAAACCTCCCACACCGCAACTTGGCACCATTACTCCTTGTTCTGTCATCTGCTACCACTGAGAACAGTCTAGATCCATCCTCTTTGGAACCCCTTTCAGGTAATTGAAAGCAGCTATCAAATCCCACCTCATTCTTCTCTTCTGCAGACTAAATAATCCCTGTAGCTCTCCTCATAAGTCATGTGCTCCAGCCCCCTAAACATTTTTGTTGCCCTCCGCTGGACTCTTTCCAATTTGTCCACAGCCTTTCTGTAGTGGGGGTCCAAAACTGGACTCCATACTCTAGATGTGGCCTCACCAGTGTTGAACAGAGGGGAATGATCACTTCCCTTGATCTGCTGGCAGTGCTCCTATTAATGCAGCCCAATGTGTTGTTAGCCTTCTTGGCAACAAGGGCACACTGTTGACTCATATCCAGCTTCTCGTCCACTGTAATCCCCAGGTCCTTTTCTGTCGAACTGCAGCTTAGCCAGTCGGTCCCCAGCTCGTAGCAATACATGGGATTCTTCCGTCCTAAGTGCAGGACTCTGCACTTGTCTTTGTTTAACCTCATCAGGTTTCTTTTGGCCCAATCCTCCAATTTGTCTAGGTCCCTCTGTATCCTATCCCTACCCTCCAGCATATCTACCACTCCTCCCAGTTTAGTGTCATTTGCAAACTTGCTGAGGGTGCAATCCACACCATCCTCCAGATCATTAATGAAGATATTGAACAAAACCGGCCCCAGGACCGACCCCTGGGGCACTCCACTTGACACCGGCTGCCAACTAGACATGGAGCCATTGATCACTACCCGTTGAGCCCGACAATCTAGCCAGCTTTCTATCCACCTTATAGTGCATTCATCCAGCCCATACTTCTTTAACTTGCTGGCAAGAATACTGTGGGAGACTATATCAAAAGCTTTGCTAAAGTCAAGGAATAACACATCCACTGCTTTCCCCTCATCCACAGAGCCAGTTATCTCGTCATAGAAGGCAGTTAGTATAATCAGGCATGACTTGCCCTGGGTGAATCCATTCTGACTGTTCCTGATCACTTTCCTCTCCTCTAAGTGCTTCAGAATTGATTCCTTGAAGACCTACTCCATGATTTTTCAAGGGACTGAGGTGAGGCTGACTGGCCTGTAGTTCCGCAGATCCTCCTTCTTCCCTTTTTTAAAGATGGGCACTACATTAGCCTTTTTCCAGTCTTCCGGGACCTCCCCCGATCGCCACGAGTTTTCAAAGATAATGGCCAATGGCTCTGCAATCACATCCGCCAACTCCTTTATCACCCTCAGATGCAGCACATCTGGTCCCATGGTCTTGTGCTCGTCCAGCTTTTCTAAATAGTCCCGAACCACTTCTTTCTCCACAGAGGGCTGGTCACCTCCACCCCATGCTGTGCTGCCCAGTGCAGCAGTCTGGGAGCTGACCTTGTTCATGAAGACAGATGCAAAAAAAGCATTGAGTACATTAGCTTTTTCCACACCCTCTGTCACTAGGTTGCCTCCCTCATTCAGTAAGGGGCTCACACTTTCCTTGGCTTTCTTCTTGTTGCTAACATACCTGAGGAAACCCTTCTTGTTATTCTTAACATCTCTTGCTAGCTGCAACTCCAAGTGTGATTTGGCCTTCCTAATTTCACTCCTGCCAGCCTGAACAATATTTTTATACTCCTCCCTGGTCATTTGTCCAATCTTCCACTTCTTGTAAGCTTCTTTTTTGTGTTTAAGATCAACAAGTATTTCACTGTTAAGCCAAGCTGGTCGCCTGCCATGTTTACTATTCTTTCTACACATCGGGATGGTTTGTTCCTGCAACCTCAATAAGGATTCTTTAAAATACAGCCAGCTCTCCTGGACTCCTTTCCCCTTCATGTTATTCTCCCAGGGGATCCTGCCCATCAGTTCCCTGAGGGAGTCAAAGTGCACTTTTCTGAAGTCCAGGGTCCGTATTCTGCTGCTCTCCTTTCTACCTTGTGTCAGGATCCTAAACTCGACCATGTCATGGTCACTGCCTCCCAGGTGCCCATCCGCTTTTGCTTCCCCTACTAATTCTTCTTGGTTTGTGAGCAGCAGGTCAAGAAGAGCTCTGCCCCTAGTTGGTTCCTCCAGCACTTGCACCAGGAAATTGTCCCCTACACTTTCCAAAAACTTCCTGGATTGAAATATGCCAAAACCCTGCTTCTTGTGAGTGTTCTTTCTAGTACAGCTGCCAGTTTTCCCATTCTTCACTCAGCTCTAAACACAGTGATGATTTAGTGTCATTACCATTATAGACACTGGTGGAATAAGCCACATGCATGGAATGATAATAAAGTAAGATACC